CCCCGTCACTCCAGCATGGCCACAGAAGTCTATAAACATTGCGTGTTTAAGTTGTTTTAAATTTAGACTGTATTTTTAATTTCCACCTTTTGAACACTGGGCTTATTTTCCATATGTTTGTGTTTACAGTTCTTTTGAACTTTTCATTCCTATTGTTTTCCCCCTTTGTCTTCTGGAGATCTTAAGGATTTCCTCGCAGTTCTATGCAAATTTATGTGAATAAAAGCAACATGGTTTCTGCCCTGCCATACCATTAAAACGGTTCTCGGGGCGCCTGGGTGGCGCAGTCGGTTAAGCGTCCGACTTCAGCCAGGTCACGATCTCGTGGTCCGTGAGTTCGAGCCCCGCGTCAGGCTCTGGGCTGATGGCTCAGAGCCTGGAGCCTGTTTCCGATTCTGTGTCTCCCTCTCTCTCTGCCCCTCCCCCGTTCATGCTCTGTCTCTCTCTGTCCCAAAAATAAATAAACGTTGAAAAAAAAAACAAAACAAACAAAAAAAAAACGGTTCTCACCCACAACATCTGTTACAGAGGACACTGTTGGCCTCTGGAATGTTCTTGAAGCTCTTTATTTACTTTGCCTCCTTCACCACCTCGCTTCCCTCTGTATATCTTGGTTCTTAGTCTCCTCTAATGATTTCAAAAATTATGATGAACTTTAATGTAGGTTTCCCTTTGTTGCATCCTCAGCCTTTCTTGGTGTCCATTTTCAGTGACGCCCTAGGCACTATCAGGACACAGAATATCTACTTGTTTTATCCTGTCTCTCCCACTGCATGGCACACAACAGACCTAAGTGTTTCAGCTAGAATGAACAGATCACTCTGTCTTCTATCCCAACCTTGTTCCTCAACCCCAAGCGCATATTTCAAACTGTGCTCCCAAACTTACTAAGTGGCTTCTTAACCTCTCATGGAGCTTACTTTTCATGTCAGATGAATAAAGGCTGAAATAACCAGGGATGTTAAACTACATAAGAAATCACTTTATGGAAGCAAGAGAATGGTTTTCACATATTTAGAGGTCCTGTGGAACAGGGATATTTGAGTTGCTCCAGAGGGCAGAATTAGGAATAATGTGCAGAGTCACAAAAAAGTCAGTTACAAGTCAATATAATAAGACACTGTTAATCATATGACACCTGGAAATAGATCAGATTGCCTAAGGAAACAGGAAATTTCTGGCCACCAATAAATTTTCAATCAGATCTTAATTAAAAAAAAAAAAAGCAACTACAGTACAGCCTCTACATAGATCTATCTAAGATCCATTCCAGTGACTCTCCCATTTTATGATTATATAAAATTTAAAAAGTTTATAGTTAATCTCATTTCATCCTAATTTCCCTTAACCTCCACTTCTGATAACTTACTCTAACCTTTGTCTAAACCAGTGGTTTTCGACCCTAACTGAATACTGGGATTGCCAAGTATATTTATAAATTATGACACCAGCATCCCATGCCGTCCTTCTCTGAGAGATTCTGACTTAATTGCCTGCAAAGGGGCCAGGGTTTTGTTTATTTTAAATAATTTCCTTGGTGATTCTAATGTGCAACCAAGGTTGAGAACCACTGATTTGAGCCATTATTTAATCTACTTAATTCAAACCTATTTGAGCTAATTAATTAAATCCTACCACTTCTTAGGGATAACCAGATTCTTTAATCAGTCACCAGATACACAAAGTATCTTTCTATGCAAGTGGCCAAAACTGATCCCCAAAAGGGATACTGGGATGAGTTTTATTTGTGTTCAGCGGAACTGCTGGTAAGTTGATGACTATCTTGGTGTTACAGATTTGGATCTTCTTCTGTCGTTTTAATATATCATTAGTGAACACTTACTCCGTGCCTGGCTCTGTACAAGGCCCAGGGGATAAAAACACGAATTAAGTATTTCTTCCTGACATCAAGCAGCTGAGTCTAGCAGAAGAAACTGAAACGGACACCCAGAGTTCACTATGATTACTGCTCTGATAACAGCATGGCCAAGGGGTCACGGACCACCTGGTGGGTTCAAGGCTGAGTCAGAGAGACAGGCAGACAAAGAAGGGTGGGGAATTGTGTGAACAAAGGCAGAGTCTGAGACAATGCACACTGGGAAGGGCAGGGAGGAGCCAGAAAGGAGCCCAGAAACACATATGGCCAGACCTAGGTCACAAAAGGACAAAAATGCCATTTTCAGACTCTCTCCTATGTGTTTTAAGCCCAGAAATGATACTAGATTTGCACCTTAAAAATGCCTCGTCTGCATTTGGGATAGTTCTGTGACGGACTGGAGGAAGATGTAACAGCAGCAAAGGAAACAGGAAGGAGGCTAATATCATAGCACAGAGGATGGGAACACAAATTAGGGCTGTTGAGGGTAGAAACGCAAAGCAGGCAGATTTTGGGAAGACTGGTACATCCTGGAAATCAAATGGGTACAGATGTGAAGACAGGTTAGGGGTTAGAGGAGACTCCCAGTTTCCTGGGTGACTGACAGAACAACAACGTATCAGGAGGAGGCACTACAGGACGGAGGGGACCGTGTGTATTTGTGTGTCTGTTTAAAGAAAGGCAAACTGCCGTGTGCAGCGCCTCATCTGGACGTGTCTGGAGTTCTGGAAGCTAACTACCCCACATTCTCCTACAAATGGTCCCTGAGAGCTCCTTTGGAGGGTCTAGCAGCGAGCGCAGCTACTCATATACCCTTGACTGAAAGTCCTCCTGTATTGGGGAAGGTCGTCCTCTCTGACCAAGCGCACAGCTTCGGGAGGGACGCACAT